TGTACTCCTTGTCTGTAGCTCCGGCGCCGTCCCCTTCCTTCAATTGCCTTATTTGCTTATTATTTTTGCAGCTGATACTTGTGAATTTTGCGTCCTTCTCCTGCCAGTAAGCTCAGTTTTGACCTTTTTTCCTGTTATTTCATCTCTGTCCCTGGGCCTATTCAAACTCATTTTGAAAACTTAGGAATCTAGAGAACTGTTTCTTTCCCTGTAAAGCTCTATTTTCTTGCCTCCTCCAAATCCTTACCATGCAGCCCTAATCAGAATATATTCTCGCTTATTCTTTCATATTCCATTTTCCCCTATTGTTTGCATGTTTCCTTTTCCAAGAAGCATCTGCGACTGTCTCTCAGGCCTTAGAGTATATCCCATCTCAGCCCTCTGTTTGCCATTTTTCGATATCCTTTCTGGATCAAATTCGTCCACACTTACAAGCCACATTCACGTTTGACCCTAAAATTGCTTGAATATGAGTTATCTGGAAATATTGTAAGAAAAAGAGCGATAAAGGAAAATGAAACGCTTATCAAAATGAAGACCATTCTTTCTTATCCCAGAAACCTAAAAATTATTTTCTCATAATTTATAATGAAAGATAAGGTATAAGGGAGAAGATAAATTTCTTTGCCAACTTTTTTCTCAGAATATGAAATTGCCTTGCTGTTATTTTCATGTAACTTGTTGCTTTTTTGTTATTGTTTATTCTTTGTATAGCTCTAGCTCTTGCTTTACACTTACAGCTTTTATTGTTTTTGAAGATCAGCTTAGTTGCTGTAAGTACTGGTTATTCCATTTTCTTTTCATCTAACCTAAAAACAAATAGCAAAACACAAATAGCTTTTAAAAAATATATTAGAGTTTTGCTTCCTGTTTGTTTTCCTTGCCTTACTGCTTTTATACTTAGGTCCATCATTACTTTAGATCATGTTGGTGATATATGTAATGCTGTATAAGATAAAAAATGTAAAAAGAAGAAAACCTTGTAATTTTATAGTGTCTTTTAACAGGGTGTTCAGGAATCGCTATGATAAACATTATGGTTAAGAGCATGGATCCTGGAGTGAGACTTCATAATTTTGAACTCCAGCTCCACCAAACTCTTTGCCTCAGTGTCTTCATCTATAAAAACAGAGAATTAAACCTGTAAAATGAAGTTAATATTTCCTACCTTGTAGGGTAGTGTGAGGACTAAATGAGACAAAATGTGTAGGTTATTTCGAGTAATGCCTAGCCCATGCTAAGCTAAGTAATGTTTGCCATTATTAAAAAGAAGTATGATTGTTGAAGGAAAGACATTTATTGGTTATTTCTGATTCTCTCATGCCAGTAGTTTTCACTGGCAAAATGAAATCCTGTTCTCTTGCAATACCCAAGACCCATATCCTGCCATATAAAATAGAGATTAAAGGAAAATTTAAAATAGTTCAGCCCCATGTGCTTTCTGACATAAGTTGTCATAAAATGTGTTTACAAGTTGCTAATTATACAAAGTACGTCACAACTGAGTAGACACGCTTTGAGTAGTTGCTCTTACACATTAAATATTTCTCAGGAGTAATTTTTAGCTTTTATTTTGTATTTGCAAATTCTCAACAAATGTAATTTTAATTAAAATAAATGTATAAGCCCTAGTAACTCATATCTTTAAGCCGAACAGATAAATAAATGCCAATATAAAGTGGTGGGTCGTCATCATTCCAAAAGTTTAGTAATAGTGTTTTTGATTTACAAAATCAGATGCCTCACATTGGGAGTACTTTTGAAAGTTTGATACCCAGGCCTTTTAAATTGCAACTTGTCTATTTTTTTTTTTCTTCTTTTTCCCAGTGTCTTTTTTGTTTGTTATTGTTTTTGAATAGATCTACTTCCAGAGTCTGTGATTTAGTTTGTGAACTGTAAAAATTATACTTTAAAATAAAACTTCATGGGCCGGCCCGGTGGCGCACTGGAGAGTGCACCGCTTGGGAGCGCGGCAGCGCTCCTGCCGAGGGCTTGGATCCCATGTGGAGACCGGTTCCCGCTCACTGGCTGAGCGCGGTGCGGGCGCAACACCGAGGGTTGCGATCCCGTTGCCGGTCCCTGGTACGGGCGCGACACTGAGGGTTGCGATCCCGTTACCGGTCAGTAAAAAAGACAAAAAGGAAAAAAAAAAACAACTTCATTGTGATCCGAAGAACATACCATGGCAAATCTCTGAGATATACACAACTGCAGAAAAACAAATCTTTTCCTTTGCGTTGAAAATAATTTGCTTTGGAAATAAAAACCTTGGGAATGGACTACTTTTTATTTTCTTGGTCCATTAGCTGCATTTCATTCCTTCCAACCTGTAAAA